GCTTGTTTGTAAAAATGTGCACTATAAGATCAGTAGCATATATGTAAGGTCAGAAAGCAAATGGAGTCGGAGTGACTTTCTGCAACATTGTAGCTCTTTTCCGAACCATCTAGACCAAGTAGAAACCCCGTTAAACCACCTGGTTGATCTGGATCTTCCACTAAAGTAGATTTAGGTCATTATTGGAAGTGGCTAATGGTACTTCCTGTGAATTATTCTAGTTAAAAAGTGACATGACATGTGGCCAAGTATGGTGACCTGTACTTGGAATTAGTGCTCTGCATTTAACCCATCCAAAGTGCACACACACAGCAGTGAACACACACACACCGTGAACACACACCCGGAGCAGTGGGCAGTCATTTTTGCTGCGGCACCCGGGGAGCAGTTGGGGGTTCGGTGCCTTGCTCAAGGGCACCTCAGTCATGGTATTGAAGGTGGGAGAGAGCGCTGTACATTCACTCCCCCCACCTACAATCCCTGCCGGTACGAGACTCGAACCCACAACCTTTGGGTTACGAGTCCGACTCTCTAACCATTAGGCCACAACTTCCCCCCTAGTTCTTCCTGTGTTACGGGTCTCAATTGGGCACATGAACCAGAGACTCATAGAGCAGCTAAATATGGTAGATATTAATCAAATAAAAATGGACCAAATGCATTACACATGTCGACTCGTGCAAAAACACCAAACTCTTCCAGAATCCAACATAATGTGAGGTTGTGAAGTCCCTGGCAATGTGATGCCGTCTGTGTTTAATGTTGAGAACGTCCGTCCTGCTGTGTTTAATTAGAAATATAATTGTCATGAGCCCATTATTTGCAAATAATGTTTCGGTTTGTCATAATTCATCTGTTAAAGGATTTACAGTGACTTTCTGTCAACAAACATCTGAACAATGACACTAAATTTACACTTAATAACAGCTGTTACCATAGTAACTATAGAATGTTGTTTGCTGAGATTAAAATGATTAAAGGATGAATTATTTGCCTTTTATGTGGGCATTCCTTTTGTGTTATGATGATTAAAGGAATAGTTTAGCCAGAAATTGTGAAAAATCTTGAAAATGTACAGGCCATCCGAGATGTAGATTGTTTGTTTCTTCATGGTAAAAGATTTGGAGAAATGTAGCATTCCATCACTTGCTCACCAATGGATGCTCTGCAGTGAATGGGTGCCATCAGAATGAGAGTCCAAACAGCTGATAAAAACATCACAATAATCCACAAGTAATCCACACCACTCCACTCCATCAGTTAATGTCTTGTGAAGCCAAAAGCGGCATGTTTGTAAAAAACACGTCCATCAAGATATTTTAACCATTGCTTCTTGTTAAATTATGAGTCTATAATCCATAATAAGACTTCCTCCAGTGAAATAGTCCATCAAAATCCACCCACATACAGTATTTGTTCAGAACTGTTTTGGCTTGTAAACGATGCTTGATCTGTGCAGATTTTGCTCCTGATTCAGATGAAACAAGTTTTTCCTCTGGAAAACCAATATTATGGATAGAAGATTCCTATTTTAGCAATGATTTGAAGTTAAAAATGTCTTGATGGATTTGTTTCTTACAAACACGCAGCTTTTCACGTCACAGGACATTAACAGATGGACTGGAGTGGTGTGGATTACTTGTGGATTATTGTGATGTTTTTATCAGCTGTTTGGACTCTCATTCTGACGGCACCCATTCACTGCAGAGCATCCATTGCTGAGCAAGTGATGCAATGCTACATTTCTCCAACGGCCTGAGGGTGAGTAGGTTTTCAGGAAATTTAAATTTTTGTCTGAACTATCACTAGAACTAATGTATTTCTATTTAGCACCAAATAAGTAAATATTGTGCATTGGGGGCCAGTTTGTAAATTTTTGACTTTGATTTCAAATTGCTATGATTTGGTACTCAAAGTAAATTAAGAGATAAATGAAAGAAACTCAACCGCCATGTTATAATAATATCTGTCTCATTCATGTACAGTAGCAAATGTCATCCACTTATGTAACTGTCACTGTATAAATAACAGGCCACATTTATAAATGTGTAAATAGTTTTATTATTTAATGGACAAACTAGCGCTCTGTAAACTCATCCAAATTAAATGATTCTTCTTGAGAGATTCATTAAACTGCTATAAAGTGTTGTGCGATTCTTTCATTGTTATCAATTACTGAAGGCAAATGAGCATGTGTATCTGCACAAAAAAAAAGTTTCCTAATTGAAATGATATTAGATGATACTCAAACTGGTATAAAATAATTTTAGATGTTTGAATCTGTAGAGTACGGAAGACCGTTTCCACCACGGAATAAAAAATAAAAAAGGTAATTGCAACTCGCAATTCTGACTTTTTCCCTCAAAATTCAGAGATTACATCTTGCAATTCTTTTTTTTTTTTTTTCACCATGGAATAAAAAATTTTATTTAACAGTTCTGGCTTTTTTCTTGCAACTTTGATTTTATATCTCACAATTCGCATTTGTTTCTCAGAATACGGACCTTTTCCTCGGAACTGCAAGGAAAAAGTCTGAATTATTTTTTGATAAAATGTCATTTTTTTTACATTTTTTTTTACATCCATAGTAGACTTGTGGAGATTTTATTGCTCATAAGCAATCAAAAGACAACAAAGAAGAGAAAAACACCACAATGGAAAAACAACAGAAAGAGAAATTTATTGAATTGACTTTCAAAGTGAAAGTAACCCTAAACACCCACAACTGTATTTGGATATTGATATATTTAAAATACATGCACAACAAAAAGCATAGATTAAAAAGACAGTATAAATTGAAAACAGGCAAAATAATGTGCGGTAACACTTTATTTTAAGGTGTCCTTGTTACATGTACTTACTATTATAACAACAATTATTTATGCATAATTAAGGCCCTGCGGCCCCCGGGGAGCAGTTGGGGGGTCGGTGCCTTGCTCAAGGGCACCTCAGTCGTGGTATTGAAGGTGGGAGAGAGCGCCGTACATTCACTCCCCCCCACCTACAATCCCTGCCGGTACGAGACTCGAACCCGCGGTTGCGAGTCCGACTCTCTAACCATTAGGCCACGACTTCCCCATGTATGTATGTAAAATGTATTTAATCCGTTTTGGAATAAGGCTGTAACAAAATGTGGAAAAAGTGAAGCGCTGTGAATACTTTCCAGATGCACTGTACATGTAGTTAATTAATATTACTCAGTACTTAAATGTATAATTACACTGTAACGAGGACACCTTAAAATAAAGTGTAACCAAATGTGCAAAGAAACTGGAAAAAGAAAGGGCGCTCCTTTACATCAGTGATTATGAGCGACCCGTAGAGACCCTGCGGGAAATACTGATCCAACAGCAGAGCCACTGAACACTTCAACGCACTGAAATCCAACCAACAAAGTTTCAGTCATAAGCAGCAAAGTGGGGCCACCAAACCACATGACCCGACAGAATTGTGCTGAAGGATAAAATAAGCCAGAGAAATCCCTGAAAACCTCTCGGGGACTTCTACAGCTGTCAGTCTCCACAGTTTCAAAGCTTTCGAGGCTGCAGACGGTGAATATCTGATGGTCTGAGCTGGATTTGGAAGAGAAGCATGATTGATAAGAACATGATGTGAACCTGAGGAGTCACAGGACAAAGACAGCAGCCGTCTGGATTCAGGAAGACCAAGCTTATGCTCAAATACTGTAGTGACACCGTTACTGAACCACAACGTAAGAAATCCATGAGTGCCACCACCGAGAGACAGTGAAAACCGTCTGAAGAACGGCTGAAAGTATTGCAAACCTTGTATTACAGTCACAAATGTATCTCTAAGCCTGGAACAAGCTACTGCATTCATAGATGAATTAGATGAATTTCTTAAAACATGTCAAAAACACCATATTTCATCCCAAAATCAACAGGGGGGAAAAAAATAGATTAACGTGAAGTTTCAGGCAAAATGCACAGATATTAGTACTAATGAAAAACTTTTACAATTGTAATACTATATATATATTCAATATTTTAATGTTAATGTTTGCTGACTTCTTTTTTATGTAATTAAAGGGGTCATATGATGCTGCTAAAAAGAACATTATTTTGTGTATTTGGTGTAATGAAATGTGTTTATGCAGTTTAAGGTTCAAAAAACACATTCTTTTCCACATACTGTACATTATTGTTTCTCCTCTATGCCCCGCCTTTCTGAAACGCGTCGATTTTTACAAAGCTCTGAAAAGCGAGGTGTGCTCTGATTGGCCAGCTATCCAGTGCGCTGTGATTGGCCGAATACCTCAAGTGTGTGACGGAAATGTTACACCCCTCACCATATTGTGATGCCGTGTCCCGGCTGGAGCAACGAGACAAAAACATTAAAACCCATTATAAACGAGGCATTTGTTGCATCCAGTGGGGACATAATTACGGATTATAATGACTTATACTGTCTTTTTACGTGTTGCGTGAACATTTGGGCGGTGTTATGCAAATCTTCCCACATAGTGATGTAGATATGTGGGGGCGTGTTAGAACGAGCCGTTTTAGGTAGGCGTGGCTGACTGAACTTTTATAAATAATATCTCTTTGGATTTGAGACTTTAGTCTTTGCAACTTTACAGATCTTCTTTATGCACCAAGAGCTTGTAACACTCCAAAGAGAAAGGAAAAATTGAAATCGCATCATATGACCCCTTTAAGTAAAAACGACTCTATTACAATGAGAATAGTTCAAATGGAAAATACAAAAAATAAAAACGTTAGCCAACATTCACAAAATAGTATTTTCAAGACAATAATGAATGAAAATCTATAATTATTGTAATGCAAAAAGTGTGTATTTTTAATGTAATTCAGTAAAAATGACTGTATTACAGTAATGAGAATCAGTGTGAGAATTATAAAAAAAATTAAAATAATACAATGAAAATTACAATAATGCAAATGAGATAGGATAATGTATTTAATTGTCATGAATATAATGTCACAATGACAAAAGAAAAATAATAAAATTTTGGTATGGAATATGACCCAAACATGTTTTCATGATATTCACCCATTAGTGTTATGCAAGTTATGAATTAGTTTTGATCAAGAAAGGAAAAAAGGAGATTTTGTGTCATTCATAATGGAATACAATTTGGCAACGAAAGATTCCTCACACGGTACAGCAGCAATTCTGTGCTAAGGCTTGAGCAGAGAATGAACAGCATGAGCACAAAACAAAAAAGGCATTTCCTAATTATCCAGCAAATGTAAAGGCATCTGTCAATCAAAAAAACAAAAACAAGAAACACTTTAGTTATTTGCCACGGCTGGTGATGGTTAGTAGGTTTCATGGTCAAGGCCTCTAGAATATCACCGGGCGACTAGATCCAATTCATCACAAACCTCATTTGTAAATGACAGCGTTCACAGTGCGGGATTCGTTACAACAGTGCAGTCAGGACATCAGTGTCACTCTCCGAGGCTGTCAGTGTCTCGATGAGCGTAAAGAGGCCACTCGAACAGCGTGGCATGGTGTTCTATGCAATGAGGTCTTTCAGAGCAGACAGAGTTAAAAAGCAAAGAGATGTTTGTGTAGAGACAGAGGAGGTGAGGTTGTCGGGTCGGCCGTCTCAGACCACATACTGGTAGAGATTGGCCTTCCCGTGATCCGGTGTGGCAAACGGACTCAGCCAGGCCAGAGAGAACGGGTGACCGAACACCACTTTCATGTTCATCCACTTTGACTTTTTGGCCCATTGTTTCTCTTCTTTCTTCAGCTGCTCGATTCCCTGCGAACAGAGAGACTCACACTCTCAGGCCACGTTTACACGACAATGATGTAGTCAAAAACAGAAAAGTTTTTCCCTTGCGTTTTGAAAAAGTTTAAAGTATACACGACAACGTTTTCAAAACGATACGCATTTACACATATCTGCGAAAACGGCCAAAAACGCTGTATTACGTATGCCAGGCCAGTAGTTGGCGCTGTCACCTTGTTAGTAAACAGCACCTGTAGGGAAGTGACGATTATATGATGTATACGATGCGTCTCCGCTGTTGGTTGTAATATTGGTGAAATAAATCCACACTTTGCTGAAAAAGCGTTAGCAAACACTTGAGAAGCAACAACAGTACCATGTACACCGCCATTGTTGTGTATGTTTGTTTGTTCGCGCTTGCCTTTAAAATCGACACGTACCGCGCATGACGTCACAAAAACTTTAAAAAAAAAAAGTTTTTCAAAAACTTGCACTTTGAAACCCGTTTTCTGAAATATGCGTTTTCAGTCCCAAAAACGCCGTTGTCATGTAAACGAACAGGCAAAACGCATAAAAAGTTTCCCGTTTTGGCTGAAAACGTTGTCGTGTAAACGGCCCCTCAGATAATGAAGAATGAGAGTTTGATCAGATGATTTCTGCATTCAATTTTAATTGAATCCATCTAAACGCTTTCTTCAGGACAGGTAATGTAGAAGACAAATCCTTCTCACATGGACTGATATTTGTGTCTACAATAAAATAGCTTAACTAGAATAATAAATAAAAACTAAATAAGCATATACATTTAGTTTTTATTAATTTTATAATAAAATGACAAAAACACACAACAATACTTACGTTCAAAAAAATACGTTCTTTTAATAGTTTTTATTTTTAGTTAAAGTTTTAGTAAAAATAAAAATAAAAAAAGAAAACAAATTAGAACTATGAATAAAAACTATAATAGCATGTAAACAATACTAAAATAAAACTACTTGAATTTTACAAATGTACTGATATACTATTATAGTTTTTATTAATATTTTTATATTCAGCAGAGGGCGACTTACAGTCTCATCATTACAGATGGAGTGAATCTGCGTCCCAAACATCACAGCGGTGAAAATGAGGAAGAGGAGACCCTCAAAGCACAGGAAGATGAGGAGGATGACAGTCGTCGGAGGAGAAAAGGAACTGCACTCTGAGGAGAGGAAACAGAAAGCTTTTAAAAACTAACCAACCAATCAAAGCACTCTGTTACAACACAAGCAGCCAATCATTTAGCAGCAAACTGAGGTAATTAAAACCCAGGCAATGAAACAGAAACAAACACTTACTTGCCCAGTCTTCTTCAAAACAGAAGACAAAATGGAGAGCGACCATGATGAGAGCATGAAGAGAAATCAAAGCAATGTACATCTGTAAAAGACACAAGAAGCAGTATGTCTTATCATTAAAACAGAATTACTAATATATTAAAAGTGAAAATATTAAATAAAATATTACATTTTTACTAATATTAAAACAAAAACAGAAAATATAAAAACTATTACAAAATATTAAAAAAGTATCTCAATGATACTGAAATAACATGAAACTCACAGTGAAGAGCACAAAGTATTTTTGGTTGCTCTCTCCCACACAGTTGTTGACCCAAGGGCAATGATGGTCCATCTTCTTGATACAGCGCTTACACACACTAGACAGAGAAAACACACACTTACAATGAGACATTTCCAGGAAACTGCCTCTGTATTTAAAGGGGTCATATGATGCGATTTCAAGTTTTCCTCTCTTTGGAGTGTTACAAGCTGATTGTGCATAGATAAGATCCCTGAAGTTGCAAAGACTAAAGTCTCAAAACCAAAGAGATATTCTTTATCAAAGTTAAGACTCTGCCACGCCCCCCTAAAATGGCTCGTTCTAACACGCCCCCACATATCTAGGTCACTATGTGGGAATATTTGCATAATGTTTGAAAAATAATGTGTTTTTTGAACATTAAAGCATGTCAACATATTCTGTTACACCAAATACACAAAATAATGATCTTTAAAAAAGCATCATATGACCCCTTTAAGGTCACACAGTGATGATTCAGTTCTTGATGCTGTGTGTGTACGTGTGTGTGTGTGTTGTTACCTGCAGTGATGTGCTCTATCAGGTTTGATGCTGCAGCATTTGGGACATTTATACACCACCTGTCCAGGCTTGAGCTGCAGACTCTCTATAAACTCTTTAGTGGCGTTTCCCTTTGGAACGGCTCCCTGAGGCGAGAGGAAGAGGCAAGAGAGAGTCAAAATGCCAGCTCCTGATGTGCATGACTTTGTTTCCTAGCCATTTAGCATCAAACGAGAAATCAGTTTCATGTTCAGAGTCTGTATAAGTCAGTCATTGGTAGGTTGATGCTTGCAAAACATTGATCTGTTTGTTCGAGTCGCCCGGCGACCCATAAACTTCCGATTCAACCAATCACATGAGTTTGGGGCGGGGCTATCTGTCTGACTGACTAATCACAGACAAGGGGACTGTTTTAATTCTTTGTTTTAAGTCATTATTTTTGCCAATTCAATTTAGTGACACAAAAGGCAAAGAAATTACATAGTTCACCTATAAACATCAAGTATGATCCAATTGGCTGCAATTCTATAACTGAAATATGAGTTCAAAGGCCCATTCACACCAAGAACTATAACTATAAAGATAACTATACATTCACACCAAGAACTATATATATATATATATATATATATATATATATATATATATATATATTTCAATAATAATAATTAAATATACTTAAAAACTCATTAATTTAAACAACTATATGTCAATCCATGTTATGAGTTGTTATCGTTTAATTTAGTGTGAACTCTGCTCTCCTCTTGGAGTTAGAGCAATTATTTAAACTTTACGTTATAGTTATCAAAATAGTCATCTTTCTTGGTGTGAACAGGTTACATCATGCCTGATTAGGGGACTACTGTGTGTGTGTGTGTGTGTGTGTCTCACCGGGTCGGTGCACATGGCTCTGAAGTGTGATGCCAGGGCGAGGAAGGCCAGTCCATTAAACACAGCACCGTTAATTAGGCTGTATGCCACATTCTTCGCCGGCAGCAGCATTACGAAGACGACCACAAACTCGGCGTAGAAGACCAGCAGCCATGTGATCACGCCGCACACGATGCCACAGCCGTCCCGGATGAACCACATGTCGTCGGCCGAGTGTGTCCGCGGAGGGGGCGGCGCACAGTGCTCCGGGTGCAGATATCCTGCCTGACGCTCGATGTCCCGACTGCGGTTAGCTGGGGAACTCTTCATCCTTCCCACCGGCAAACACCCTCATCCTCCTACAGAGAGACAGAAAGACCAATGTGAATATTGACCACACATCAGCCAGTCAGGCCATTTACATTCATGCATTTTAAAGATGCTTTTATCTCCTAAAGTGACTTACACCAGTGTTATTTTAGTATCTATCTATCTATCTATCTATCTATCAAGGTATAGATCTATCAGTTCATGCATTCCCAGAGAATCAAACTCATGATCATGGTGTTGCAAGCCTTGCTCTACCGTTTCAGTTAGGAATGCTTCTGCAATCAGCTTTAAAAAGCAGAGTTTTTATTACAATATTTCAATCATGTGACTGTTGTCAGACATTTAAAAGCAGAGGATGCACTGTCGGCAAATTTAAAATCGATAATGACCATTAAGAAGCGGGGTTATTACAGTTAACTGAAACCATAAAAAACCCCGTTACTTGAAACTTTAACTGAAATAAAAACAAAGCATAAATAAACCCTTAAACTTATTTTATTTCAGCTATTTGCCAAGGTAATATTTCACATTTTCCTTTAGTTTAAGCTGATGTACTAAAATGATTAATCCGAAATAAAAATAAAATGAATAAAAGCTACATAGACAAAATAAATAAAACTAAATACATAAACTCAAAAAAATTACTCGAATTAAAATGGAAAACAGAAATTATAATATATACATAACAGAAAATACAAGCATGAAAACGACTTTTTTTTAATATTATTAAAATGATCAAATATTCTAAAATAATTAGTATGTGTTTGTGTGTGCGCGCTAAATAAAGGCTAAAAAGTTAAATAAAATAAAAATAATATCTGAATATGCTCAAAGAAATAAATAACAACCATATTAATGAATACTACATTATCACAGGGATATTAACAAAAATAACATAATACACTAATTTCAACATTTGTTTGTCATTATTTTTTTGTGACAGGACTTTTAGATATTATACGAAATAATTCTCAAAGGCTACAAACGGGGGAGACACCTGCATATTTTCTGATAAATGATCTTTCAGTCTTTAGATCTATTTAACACAAGGCTGTCCACACTCACCGTCTTCTCTGGATCTCCAGCAGCGCTCGACTGATTTCTCTACTTTAGATAATAAATTCTCCCTCCGCTTACACAAAGATGATGTGATGTAGTGATGGAATGTCAGTTTGTTGTATAATATGAGCAGCCGGTTATGTTTTCGTGTGAATTATTGCTCCAGTTTCGTCAGGTGAAGCACGACAACCAGGAAGTTTCGGTCACTGGCGTCACACACCCACACCGTCCGACTCCGCACTTCCGCTACTGAGCATTACACAATAAAAGTCCAGACGCTTTCGTAAACCAAAACAAAATCATACATAGACTAAATTATATATTGGAAATAAATCAGGCAGAAACAATAGAGCACGTTTTAATAAAATGTAAAAAATATGAAAAAGAAAGGTTAAAACTCATTAAGGAAGTAAGAAACATGGGTGTTGAATCATTGAATTTGTCAAACCTCTTGAAAGAGCATGCAGAACAAGGTAAAATATATGGTGCTATTGTTAAATACATTAAAGAAATAGGATTAATCAGGAGAATTTAGGAATGTGTGTGTTTTGTTTAAAAAAAAAAAAAAAAATTTTTTTTTATATAAAATACAAATAAATATAAATATGTATTTATTCGTGCTCCACACTCCAGTCCAGTTGGTGGCGGTAAATGCACCAGAAGTTGGTTTGCCATCCGCCATAAAACATTATTAGAAGAAGAAGAAACCAAAACAAACAAAGAAAGAAAGAAACAAAAAAACAAATAAATGAATATTAAACCTAGATCGGTTTATGTATTTATTTTTGGTGTTGTAAGCGCGCGTTTGTGTGTAAAGGTGTCAGAAGAATACACCAGTTTTGTTAAAACGTTTTTAACATTATGTGATGACTATGAAGCCTGTTTCCGCCTAAATATAATTAAAAAAACAAAGGTTATTGCGACTTTTTATCTCACAATTCTGACTTTTTTCTCGCAAATGCGAGATTTAATCTCGCAATTCTGACTTTTTTCTTGTAATTCTGATTTTTTTCCCTCGCAGTTGCGAGTTTAAATCTCGCAATTCTGCCCTTTCCCCTCTGAATTGTGAGATGTAACCTCGCAATTGCGAGTTATAAAGTACAATTCTGAGAGTGAAAAAAAGACTGATGTTCTCTGATATGTTCAAGAGCAATTCTGAGAAATAAGGCAGAATTGTAAGATAAAAAGTCGCAATTACCTTTCATACTTTTTTATTCAGTGGCGGAAACTGGCTTCCATAGATAACATGAATAATATTCCACGTCTTATAAGTAAGAAATCATCAAATGTAATTTAAAAAGATGTGTAAATGAAGGCGTCTTAATGACTTTTATCTTAGCAGCAGTGCCGGGTGCTGCGCGCGATGCGGTTCATCCGGCATCATGTCAGCAGCAGAGCGCGCGCTCGAGGTGAGAAACACAACACACAATAAACACACATTTACACCTGCCTGCCTTAATTACAGTGCATCTGCGTGTCTGAGGTTATGTTGTGAATGTGTATTCCCGGTGGAGGATATAAACACCGCTTTCATCGTTGCTGGTTCTGCGGCGGCGTGTGGTGCTTTAGTTAATCAGTGTATCGTGCAGAAGTTGGAGGGTTTTGAGACATCAGTGTGTGATTATATGCACGGATGTTTTCATCTTGTCAGCAGTTGTTTAAACTAATAAATGCTTTACGATGTTTGCTGATTGATGTTGTTCTGATATTATGCATGCATGTGAAATTTATAACCTATTTCCTATATAATATAATATAATATCCCTATATAAGTTCATTGCAAACAAAACGGGACGTATTCATAAATATGTGCAGTATTCTTTCATATTTATTTGATGTGACCCAAGTTTCCTCTTTAAAAGTGAGTTTAGCTGTTGTTATAGGTTAAAATAGCATGTTTAAAATCTGTGTTGATCATATTTTGCTGTGTTGTCATTGTTTCTGGATTATAAGTAATGTTTAACAGTATATTTTTTATTATATTGTTGCAGACCCCATCAGATGGGAGCTCTCCTCAATCCAAACAGGAAGGTGAGGGTGACACTCTTTTATGTTAGTGTTGCATTAGTAGAGATGCACCATGTATGTTAGAATTGGCCAATAATTTTCTGTATCAGCTTATTATTTCTTATTCAGACAGATTTCTTAGATACATTTGGATCTATTCTGCAGGTCATTTGAACAGTCAATGTTATTTCACTCTATTATAAATGCACTTTTTATTAAAACAGGTGAAATTGTGTAGATGTATACAATTGGATATTATATATATATATATATATATATATATATATGTATATATGTATGTTCCCATCAATAACAGATTTTATTGAATTATTGGTTTCAAATGCTGATATAACATTTTTTTTCCTTTAATTTATACTGCACATTATTTAATTTTTATGCCTGATTTCAGCATGTAAAATTCTAGATTGAAGCATTTACATTTTTTTAAAAAGAGGGAAAATTGTTTTGAATATAGGCCTACATTTCTGTATCTTGTTGTTATTGTTTAAACTAATAAATGCATTATGGTGTTTGTTGACTGGGGATTTTAAAAATATTGTGCATGTAAACTTTTTGACTAGATTATCAGTTCATTGCAAATAAAACATGATATCTGCAAATTAGGGATGTAACGATTCACTCAACTCACGATTCGATTCGATTCACGATTTTGATTTCTCGATTCGATTCACGATTATTATAATTTTTTTTTACAAAATTAGATTTAAGACAAATTATAAATTAAATGTGTCCTTTTATTATTGCTTGGACAAAATGCTGCACATTTCTTTGTCAAATTGAAATATAACACTATAATAATACCTAAATGAATCGCGATTGGTTTAGCATCTCAACCGATTTGAATCGTCACATATTTGAATCGATTTCCAACCGGCTCGCGGTTAATCGTTACATCCCTACTGCAAATATTAAATGCAGTATCATATTATGAGATAATTTAGCCCATATCAAAATATCTCTAAATGTTTTTTTAATCACAGGTTTTAAAACAATTAAAAAGTTTTTTTTTTGTAACATTGACCTACATTTCTGTAGATGTGCTTCTCTATTAATTTGTACTAGTTAGTTTTTTTGTCTAATTGTGTTGCTGTGGTCATGTTAGTGGAGCTGATTTTGGCTGTAAAGGGAAAACAGATGGAAGACGTGACTGGACGTCAGGATGAGGGACGTCCCACCACATCCACTAAAACTTTGTCAGGTGAGTCACGCACAGGTGCTTATGTGTTTTACAGATCAGTCTGTGATTCTGAACTTTGGAGACCAAACCTACTTCACTTTCTTACTTTTTATGCTCCCATTCAAAGTTTTTCAGGGCTTGACAGTGTTTTTTGTGGCTAAAAAGTTGTGTGTGTAAAGTGTATTTTTTAGAAGTCCCAGCGGGTCTGTAAAAAAAAAAAAAAAAATAAAATTTTAAGTCAGAAATTTAAGGTTGTAAAAAGTTCTACATATGTATATTTTATAGTGCTGTCAATCGATTCAACAGAATTAACTAATAAATCGCACATTTTTTTTCTGAAATTAATCGCGATTAATCACACCTAACATTCAAGTTTTTAAATATACTTTTATATTGCAATCATTTCACATTCAATCTTCAAATGAATGTAGAAAAAACATAAGACAGTATATATTTTAAATATTTGTTTAATGGCATCTTTTTATGACTGAAGGTGGGTATCACTGATATGTGTTTTTTCCCCTAATATTTAACAGACTATAGCCATTCAACATTACAGTAAAATTGAGAGCTATCAATTTTAACATTTATTAAACTTTTTTAAAAAATCACAAATTTTAATTTAAGTGAACAATTTTCACATAACCCCAATATAATAAATGTCATATTTAGCTACCTGTGCCCTTCAGCAAGTAGGAAATCTACAGAAAGTTATCAAACACTAAATTCTAAATTAAATATAGATGAATCCTTAAAGCTACAAAAGTTATTGATTTCCTGTTTTTTTTCTTTTGTTCTTTGCCAAGGTGTCCGTAGAGGGTTGCAATGTAGTGTACTTTTTGTATTCCAATACATCATTTTGCTTGTAAATGTCTTCTTGTATCCTTTTTATTAAAGGGGTCCTATTATGCTTTTTCACTTTTTCAACTTTAGTTAGTCTGTAATGTTGCTGTTTGAGCATAACAAAGATCTGCAAAGTTCAAAGTCCACTTCAAAAGGAGATATTTTATTTAACAGAAATCACTTTTCAAAAACTACAACGAATGACTCTTTTGGACTACAACGCATATTTGCCGGGATTTGTGATATCACAAATATCGACGAATGGGATGAGACCTGGTTGAACTGCACTAGAGAAGGCAACGAGTGTTATTATCACTATGTGGGAGACACACTAGCTTTCCCAAGGCAGACGAACTTAGAGTGGTTACAATCATCCGGGTTTAAATCGCACTCAAATTGATTAGATTTTGACTCAATATTTACACTGAAGCTCGCAGGCGGCTATGGTTAGGGTAATAGAGAGAGGTGTTGTAATAATGTAAAATATGTGATAAATAATGTGTTTTTCGAACAACCTAGTATGAGAGCCTGTTCTAGTACAGCCCCAAAACAAGATCAAGACGTTGTAAAAGAGCATAATAGGACCCCTTTAAGGAAAAACGCATTATTTAATCAATTTTCATTGCGCATGAACACCTAAGTTTTACAACTTAAGTCTTTCAACTTTCAGCCTAAATTTGTCTAGTGTCAAGCCCCTTTTTTTTTTATTGGCATGAGAGTTTTATGCCAAAAAAAGACAATAAAAAACAGTAACAGAGCAAAACAAGAATAATAAGGAGTCAGTGTTAATAAAAAGTTTAATAATAATGAATTTTTATTTAACAATATGTGACCCTGGACCACAAAGCTGAATAAATAAGCTTTCCATTGATGTATGGTTTGTTAGGATAGGAATTGGATATTTGAAAATCTGGAATCTGATGGTGCAAAAAAAATAAAAATATTGAGAAAATCGTCTTTAAAGTTGTCCAAATGAAGTTCTTAGCAATGCATATTACTAATCAAAAATTAAGTTTTAATATATTTACAGTAGGAAATCTCTTAAATGGCTTCATGGAACATGATCTTTACTTAATATCCTAATGATTTTTGGCATAAAATAAAAATCTACCCATACAATGTATTTTTGGCTATTGCTATAAATATCCCCCAGCGACTTAAGACTGCTTTTGTGCTCCAGGGTCACATATGTTGTCTGTCTCTCCTCACAGGCAGCGCTGGTAAAAGCGCATCTCCCTCCACCTCGTCATCAGCATCTGGCAGAGCTAAAATGAGCGTCTGCGGTCCAGGCAGTAAGTCGACTCCGTCCTCATCTTCATCGCTCTCCTCCTCAGCTCTGTCTTCAGCCAGTCCTCCTGCTAAAGTCCACCGCGCTCGCAAGACCATGAACAGACCACCGTTCCCACAGGTTCTTTCATTTGTAATGCAAACAAAGTCATGATGAGCTCGGGCAGGTTAAATCATAATTCTCCATAATTCTCCAGATGAAGACTGTCGAGTCGATCTTAGCAGCTACACCTGAGAAACCCGTCAGCGGCGCGAAAACAGACGCCGACACAGGTGTGTTTAAATTAGTCTTGCTCATTCATATCCTGTATATTTCTATTCTGAGTGTATTTTGAGGTGTGAATCATAGCAGATTTGTGTTTTCTCTGTGTTTAGCTGTGAAGAAGCGTAAAGTGGGTTTGGACTCTGATACCACAGTGAATCCTTCAGGAACTCCAGAGAAGATCCCGAGGCCACAGACAGAGGTGAGATGATCAGCACAAATGCATTCAAATAAAGCAATAAACCTGTGTTGAGTGGTGTTCAGAAGTACAATGTGAAGCAGATTTAACTGTTCAAACTGTTCCACATGGCCCGGAATGGGCTGCTGATTTTCTAAAATGCTGGTAAAAGCAATATATGCAGATAATAACTGAGTTGATTTTATTAATTAATTGAAGATTGGTATCTTTTATCATAATTAATACTAATAAATATTATTAGTAATTGTTATTATTAGTATTGTAAATAATATATGATAAAAGATACTGAGTTCAATAAATAAATTAATAATAATAATAATTATAATTATTGTTATATTTTAACATAGCGATATGATAAAAATACAAATGATCAATATATAAATAAATTATTATTATTATTTAATTGTTATTGGTGTCTTATTATAGCAATATGATAAAATATATCAGTGTTAAAAATAAACGTAATATTATTTTTTTTTAAATATTACTAATATTCAATAAATATTATTTTATTATTATTATTATTCATATTGGTTTAACATTTGTAGCAATACGATAAAAATATAAATGTTAAAAAATAAATTACTATTATTTAATTATTGTTATTTGAGGTTTTATCATAGTAATAATAATACGAAGAATTACAATTAAATAGTTAAATACAATTACAATAATTTTAATTATACAATTATTAATTATAATTATATTGTTACTAATATTGTTAATAATAATAGTAATAGAAATCAATAGTAATAATAATGATAGAAATCAATAATAATAGACATTAAGTATTAATTAATTTAGTATTAAAGTATTATAGTTAATTTGTGTAATTTGCTGACTGATGTACAATCATGTGTTTGTATCGGCTATTTTACATCCAGTCAGATTTTAGAGGCAGAACTATGTGTTTTATAATTAACAGCAACAGCTTTGATCCCACATTATGGGATTATAATTATAATATAATCCTACATTATAATTAATATAATATTAGCATATGTAAATCCTTCTGTGTGTGTTTTTCCCAGCCTGCACTGAGCGTGTCTCCAGCGACGGGGAAAGTGGAGCCAGTTGCCACGGCGACTAAAGAGCATCACAGCGGTTGGCTGGAGGATCTAGATGAGGAGGCAGATGAGGAAGATTTCCACCTGCTCTACAACAGTTACTCTGGAGACGATCTCATTTACTCTGACAGCAAGGTGAATTCATACAGACCTGAAACAATGAGTCTAACGGCTGCTGCAGATCTGAGAGTCTGGTGCTTTTGTTTTGCAGTCAGATGATGGGATAGTAGAGACGCTGGAGGCGGAGCATCTCTCTGATCATGTGAGTGATTCTGACCAGTGGAAGTGCACCTTATTTTCACACAATCTCAGGATGTTTGGAAGAGAGTTTGACCGATACTGTTTTTTCATTAACTGAAATAAAATATTTAAAAACGTATTTTGTTTCAGCTAGTTGCCAAGGCCATACTTCTTATTTTCATTTAGTTTGTTGAAGTACTAAAATAACTAAAACTGAACAAACAAAAACTAAAGCTTAATAAAAAAAAAACTATATAGACTTTTTTTAAAGCAAAAGAAAATTAATAAAATAAAATTGCTAATACATTAAGTCTTAAAAAGTCATTTTCTAAATAAATACTACAAGTAGTGCTGTCAAACGATTAATCGTGATTAATCGCATTCAAAATAAAAGTTTTTGTTTACATAATATATGTGTGCGTACTGTGTATATTTATTGTATATATAAATACACACACATGCATGTATATATTTAGAAAAATATGTTATGTTTATATATTAACTATATTTATAAATAATATAAATTATAAGAATATAACTATGCATGTAAATACATGTAAATATTTTCTACATTTTAATTTAGTTTAACTTAATGTACTAAAATAACTAAAAATGTACTAAAATAATAAAACTCAAATACAAATTAATAGAATTAACTTGATGTAAAAAAAAAAACTGAAACGAAAATGAATAAAAACTATATAATAAAAAAAAACTACTAAAAATAGCAATGCAACAAAATTATGAAAACTTTAAAATTAAATTAAATTAAATAAAAAAATTAAAATTAAAATATTAATTTTTATTAACTTGAAAAGTCTTGGAAATGTATATGTGAAAATATTTATTTTCTGGTTAATTTCTAAAATATTTAATTGTCTAGAAATTGCTCTTTAAAGTGTAACTGGTGTAAAATATTATGTAAATTCCTTATCCAATGATCTTGAATGACTGGAAAAGTTAGGGATTTTTGGGAAGGTCACTACAATTAATTTGTGGGAACTCTAAATAATAAACAAGACTTTTAGCACAATATTTACATGCAAGTGAAGATATTAAGGCATGAGTATTGTCATTTTACTACTGCAGCATAAAATAAAAGGATTCATATACTTATTAATAAGTAGTATATTTTTGCCTGTGATTGAAAGTGTTATTGAATGTTGATATTGTGTATCAAAGTTAGATAATTTTGTTACTAAAATTCTATTATTCTAAAAATTCTATCATTATAACCGGAATTCTAATATTATACAGAAATTATATTACTTAAATTCAAGGTATTGTTATTTTATTCATTTATATATTATTTGTTGACACAAGATGCAACAGGATCAGCTGATAATATCAACACGAGCAGTTCTCAGACTAGCTTGTAGTAAACTACAGTGAATATGCTGACTGTGTTGTGTTTGTCAGAGCTCTGGCTCTGATCTGCCCCTCGCCGCTTATAAGAAGACATCAGCAGAGAGAGACGAGTCGCCATGGAAACGTCAGGGGAAGGGTAAAGGGAGAGACAGACCCCCCGTTGGAGAGCTGGAGACGGATAAAGGTGAGACAGACCCCAGAGGATGTGTGTGTGTCTGTGTGAGCGGATGTGAGGAGCTGTCTCTGTGTGTCAGGTGTGGAATCCAGAGCCGCAGCCGCAGTGGGCAGCACTGACTACACTGAGGTCACTCTGGACTCACTGGACATTTCTGCACCGGACAGCCTCTCTCTGTCTCCACACGCAGGTGTGTGATGATCTACACTGGCAGTCTGAAGTTTGGAATAGTTATGATTTTTAATGGTTTTGATAGAAGTCTCTTCTGCTCACCAAGGCTACATTTATATGATCTAAAATACAGTAAAATACAATTTAAAATCACTGTTTTCTATTGTAATATATTGTAAAATGTAATTTATTCCTGTGATGCAAAGCAGAATTTTCAGCATCATTAAATTGCATTCAATTGTTTGGAATACATTCATGTTACGAAAGATTTCTATTTCAAATAAATGCTGTTCTTTTGAACTCTCTGTTCATCAAAGAATCCTGAAAAGATACATTTTATCCTGGTTTCCTCAAAAATCTGAAGCAGCACAGCTGTTTTCAACATTGATAATCAGAATCAGAAATGTTTCTTGAGCAGCAAATCAGCATATTAGAATGACTTCTGAAAGATCATGTGACACTGAAGACTGGAGTAATGATGCTGAAAATTCAGCTGCGCATCACAGCAATAAATTAAATTTTAACAGTATATTAAAATAGAAAAAAGTTATTTAAAATGATCTTTTAGATTTAATTAAAAAATATTATTATTTTGACTCTGAAGTCATTTTAAATGTCTACTTTGTTTTTTAATACATTTTAAATTAATTTTCAATCAATGTTTATTTTTTACTTTTACAGTTTTCAATGCATCTGTTATGGTTGTTTTTCTTTTTTATGTAAAGCACTTTGAATTATCATTGTGTATGAGATGTGCTATTTTAGTGTGTCTTTATGGCCAACTAATCCCAATGTAAAGCCTGTGTGTTTAACGTCACATGATGTTTGCAGATGGGAGCGATGCAGAAACCGAGCGTCTGGAGGAGCTTCCTCTGTGCAGCTGTAGGATGGAGGCGCCACGTGTGGACGGATTCAGCGCTCGCTCCAACAGAACCTGCATGGCCATAGAGAGCATCAATGGAGAGGCAAGTCTACTGTTGAGCACACTTGGTTCTGAAAGTAGATTTCCAATCTTCAAGTGTTATGAACCATAAACCAAACCAACCAGCTTTGAAGTGAGTCACAATATTAAAAATCTGACAGTTGGACAAAAAGAAAGATACAGGACTTTGTACTTTATTGAGGGAAAGAACTACAATCACACAAAGCATTGCAAATGGCATAATCGAATTAGAAGAAAATGGAGTGATATAAAAGTGCTAATTAAAAGATGTTCTTTATGTATATAGAAACAACACATTTTAAGTATTTTATTTTTATAATAAAGAAAAAAAAAATTTTCTAGCTCGGCTCTAAAATATTTTATTGTCTAGGAATTGGTGTAAAATAGTATTTAAAAAAATCCTTGTCCAATAATCTTGCATGGAAAATGTTTTTTGAGAAAATATTACAATTAATTTGTCAAAATATGTGGAAACTAATAATAAATAAAAATAATAAATTATTTGTATATATTTTTAAAAGCTTCTTGTAATTGATGATATTAGGACACAAGAATAAAGCAATAAGCCCTAAGACGCCTGTTATAAATTCACTGTAAACCACGGCTTCACGGGGCTTATTGCTTTTATAAAACGGTTATTCCATATACGTGGTAAGGTTTCACAAATTAAAACAGAGCAAATAAAGCGTAATGATATGAATAAAAACAGTATTCTTCCACCAATCAATGTAGTTCCGTAAACAAAGGTGTATGTTACTTTGTAGAGTAATTTACAACAGCTTCGAACGTGGCTCAGCCAATCAGAATCAAGGACCGGAACTATCCGTTTTATAATTGTAGTGTAAAATAAAAAACTTCCCATGAAATATTAATTATTTTTATTTTATAAATACTGTTTTTTATATAGTATGTTACAATATAATATATATTATATGTAATATATTGTATTATATATAATATTTTTCTTTGTCGTGATATTGAAAATAGTATTGAAGATAGATATTTTTCCAGGCATTGTATTGTTTTATCGTAAATTAAAAATTCCAGTATGTATATTTTAGGGCTGCTTTCTGAGTTTAGGGCATGCTTTCACATTGAGCAGCATTAACTACACAGAGCCGTTGTTCACTGACGAGCTGCGCAAAAAATC